CATTTGGAGCTTCCGCCGCCGTTTGGAGCTCCAAACAGCGGCAGTGCTCCAAACACGAAGCCGGTTGCTAAAGAGCCAGAAAGCAGCAAGGGCGCCAGGTGGAAAGGACAGGGTCGCGATCACACGGAGATGCCCAAAGCGCAGGAGGGTGAGACGGAGGGGAGGGCGGAGTCGTGTAATTGATGCAGAGTGAAGGCAGTAGGACGACTCTTCGGGGCGGAGTGTTGCTTGGGACGCATGCGCGCTGCAAGGAGGGAAAGGCGAAAGCTCTTTAGCAAAGCATCGCGGTCTCCCTCTCTTGCTTGCTCTGAACTTCGCGCGGACCAAAATAAAAAGATCGCCCGCCGTCATGTTTGGAGCTGCCACTTCCGCGTTTGGAGCTCCAAATGGCGACCGCGCTCCAATCACGGAAGCGGCAGCTCCAAACGTGGCGGCGTAATGGGCAGAAGGGAAAGCAACAGCGGCGGGTGCCAAAGGTGTCTGCAGCAAAGGTGGGAGTAGGGAGCTCTCTGTGCTTGGCCATGATCGCCCGTTAGGAGCGGCTGGTGGCGAGGATGCAAGGGGGGGAATTAAATCACCCCCCGAAAAGACGGCCTAGCCGTTTTTTCGGGGCTCAAAAAAAAATAAGGCCCGGCCTTATTATGTGAGAAACACGGTAGTTAGAACAGTACCAAGAAAATCTGTCACTGAATTGTATCTAGCAGTAGTAGATACTACTCATCTGACCAAATTGTATATCAATGGGCAAAATGATTGAGCGTTCTTTCACAACTTAACTGATATGTTAAATCAATAATATTTAACTGCATTAATAGCAGATATTTTTTATCAATATTGATCTTCAGTCCATTTGCAAAAGCTTTTGGCTCAGAGAAGAAAAGCCTTTGGAGTGCAATCCCATGCTCCTCCAGACTCACCGAGGCTGCCTGATGCTTCAAAACTGGATCTGGTGTCCTGCACAGGCAGACTTGGTAAGTCAATGATGCTGAGCAGGGCGTGTTCTTTCCATTCAGCCTCTGCTCTCACTGCTTCCTGTGTTGGGAACATCAGGAGCAGACAGCTTGGTGGTCTGGCTAAGGGATGGGGAGATGGAGGCTGTACAAGTGGCAGGCTGGCCTGCACGTGCCGCGTGCAGCTCCACTCACACAAGCCTTTGGGTCAATGCTTGCACAAATGGAGCTGTGCGTGTGCATACATGCACTGGGATGTTTCTCATGTGGCCTGATTCAAAATACGCCACAGCCTGGTAGTGGGTTCGGCCCAGGGGTTGGGACCTCTGTCCTAAAACTTAATTGGTTAATTGATTGGTCCTTTCTTATAAAATGCTTGAAAGCTTTAACAAGCCTGTTTTGTAAATCCAATACAGGAAAATTATTCTGATAACTCTCTTGGTTTGTTATCTGTATATCCATTTTAATTATTAAGACTTCATCAACTTTCTTCATATTCTTCAATGAATCCAATATTAAAATATTTGGCTTCATTCTGTATTAATTGAATTGATTGAAGATTGAAAACATCTCACCACTGGTCATAATGCACTGACTATGGTTTGGGCAAGATGGCTGTTCCCTTATTCTTCCAGAGCTCTAAACTGTGGACTGTTGTCTTTCACTTTTCTCATGAGGACAAACTGTCTGTGGGTGAGGTCAAGTTTCTCCTTGTCTAGAGAAGTATTACAAAGAACCAGTTTACTTGCTAGCTCTTCATTCTGCTGCAATTATCGCCTCCACTTTTAGCTGAGCCATTTTCAGTTCGCCATTTCTTAACTGAAATTTCTATGAATATTTCCCTTGTTATTTCTATGACAAAACTACAGTGTTCTTGCACAAAACATGGATTGAAGAATTAGTTATGAAATCAGCTAGACAACAAAAGATACCATAGGAATTGCGATGGTATTATAGCAATTTCTATGGTAATAAGACTTTTAAAAATACATTTCTCTAGTTCTCCCTGGTTTTTTCCCGTGAAACTCAATTTTCAACTTCCTTGAAAATCACTTTTTATTATTTTGATGCAAGGCTGTCCATTATTTACAGCCTTCCAGACTATTCTCACTTCTGCTTAATTGATGCATAGGTTAGCATGGTGACTCAGTGGTTTTAAGATGCTGAGCTTATGGCCTGGAAAACCAGCAGTTCAGGTTCAAGGCCCAAAAACAACACAATGAGGTGAGCTGCCATCCTCACCCCAGCTCCTGTCACCTAGCAGCTTGAAAGCGTGCAAATGCGAGTAGATAAATAGGCACCACTTTAGTAAGAAGATAACAACACTTTGTTAAGTCATGCTGGCCACATGACTGCAGAAATGTCTTTGGACAACACTGGTTCAATGGCCTTGAAGCGGAAGTGAGCATCCCCTATAGTCAGTCATGACAAATGGAGTAAAATCTGTAGTGATTTCTTTTTTAAATCTAATTGATGTGTACTTTAGAAAATCACAGATTTTACAAATGTGAAATAATTAGCAGCAAGGATATCAATTTATAAATTATTTCATTTGAACAATTTTGCATCTTCATTTTTTTCAATTTAGTTTATTTCCTTTTTAACATTTTTTCAAGTCATGTAAGCATTAAATAAGAAATTACACAAGAAAAAAATCCATATTTTAACAATGTCATCACTAGTCATTACTAGACTAATTTTTGATTAGTTTTATTAATTATTTCCTTAATAGGAAATCTGGATTTTATCTTTACATTTTTATCGCACTCTCTCTCTTTCTCCCTCTCTGTGTGTGCCCGTGTGTGTCCACATACCTACTAAATACCTACTAATGTATCACACATGCTTTAACATGAGTATCAATGTAAATAAATGATTAAATGCATCTCCAAAGTTATATTTTAAAAGCTTCTATAAGAAAGGCTGGTTATAAATCTAACAAATAGATGAATGAATATTTACCAATAAATCTTCAAAGGCATCTGCAGTAGAGCAAGTAATTAATTTGTTGGACTCACAAGTACAGCACTGTAAATTTTAGAGGCACCCATAAAAATACAAAGAAGTATGGGTCCTATGATGGCTCCTTCTAGTCCCAGGTAATATGTTCCACCAGCTATTGCAAGTCCTGTCAGATAAGGATGACCTCCTCTGCAATGAAATAATAAATGAAATTACTGCAATGTCATTTAAGAACCATCAGTGGAAAGCTGATTTTATATGTTGAGTTATCAAAAGACACAAAAAGAAATAAGTTAATATCTAATCACAAGCAAAGACATTTCTGTGCAGACACACAAACACGTACTGTACGGAAAAGAGAAAAATAGAGTTTGAAACATGGTAAAGGTTCTAGGTAAGTAATGTTGAAAAAAAGCATGTTTAAGCCATTCTTCTATTAAGGAATTTTTCCTCTACATGTCACATTTGTCCCTCAGGAAATATGCCAGTTATGAAGGAAATCAGAACTACTGTATACTTATATTCTCTCCAGTGATATTCTTTCCACTCCACACATCCTATGCTGTCTTTTGTTGAATAGAAGAACACTTTATAAATTTTCTATTTCCTGAAAATACTCTAATCAATAATTACTATATGATTTTGAAAATGATCACATATTTTAGAGTGGGTATCTATGCTTATTTTCCTTTAACATTATGTATAATAAAGACGCCAATATTGACATAAATAATTCATCTAAATATTTCTGGACATTGATTGACCTGTTAGAATTTTTTTCAATATAGTAAAGAAAACAAATTAAAATATTCACCCAGATATATCCAAATAGATTGCTGTATCCACAAAGTAAGTTGGCAATAGATGACAAATGAAGAGAAGCATAGCTTTATATCCTTTTCCTTGATAAAGCCAAAGATCTAGAACTGCAGGCGCAGTTGCCCAGTATGTTCCCAAAAATGGAACTACTCCAAGAATAGCAGCCAGAGCTAAGAAGAGATGAGGTTTGGAGTTAGAAAGGAAAATGTAACATTTGCAATTAATTATTTAGGAATGTAATTCCACAAATATTTTGCAACTTTATATCTCATACCACTACTTAAATTCAAAGGGAATTTAAATAGAATATAAGAAAGTAAGATAAAAGAGTTTATAATTACATTGCTTATAAAACAAAGTATGATACATCTTGAATTTCAATGCTACTGGATCAGTAATCAAGAATTAAGACATCATAACCTAGTACCATATTACATGAGAAATAGTTATGATAGAAGTAACAAAATGCTACAAGTTGAATTAGATGGTCATAATTTATATTCAAGGCAGCACCAGAACAAGAATAGTTATAATGGAAATCTCTTGCCCATTCCCCCTCTGCAAATCCTTGTGCTTTTGGGTGCTTCTTCAGTTAAAGCAGGAGTCTCCAAACTGAAGTCTATGGGCTACATCAGGCTGACTGGAAGGTTCCTTCCTTTCACCAGTTCATCCCATGTGCTGTGCTCCAATCCTTTCCAAACAGCAGAGGAAAAGAAAGCAGGGCTGTATTCACCACTGTTTGGAAAGGAAGGTAGGATTTTTTTTATTTCTCTGATGCTAGCATTGCGAGCCAGCTGTATGGTTGCTAAAGAGGAAGGGGAAGCATCTTCCTCTTTAATATTTCCAACAATTGGGCAGATTCTCATTTAATGCAAATCTGTAAAATTTAGGTAAATAAAATTTATTGACAAATAGTATAGCTTTCTTTTCTCATTTGTAATTATTAATTTATTAGGAATGAATGAAAGCTTGTAAGAGTAAACCTCTGGCCCAGTTACCAACCAGGATTGGATTACTTTGTTATTTCTTCAGAGTATTTACTAATGATTGATATTTTTCTTGTATCATTTATCTGTGCAAGCATGTCATCATTTTTTCATATTTTGTCACTTTCTTTTTTGCTACCGTTATGAATCATATCACATTGAGCAAAATAAAACACGTTCAATTAAATTTTATTCACTTATTTTTAAAATTGGTTTTTTTCTCCCTGGCCCTCAATGTTTGCAAAATGTCCAATATGGTCCTCAGACTGAAAAGTTTGGAGTTCCCCTGAGTTACGAATCCCAAGAAATTCTGAAATATGACTCAATTCTAGAAGGGACAGCTAGCAACTAAGACAAATATAAGTTATTTCTCTCCTTTTAAAATCTTGTGAAATGTTTGCTCCACATTTTATATATTTTTTGAAAATTTCTACACCTTTTCAGCAGTAAAAAAGGCAGCCAATTTAATTCTTTTATTTATTTATTCCTTTATTTTCTTTCTTTAAAAACTTCACTGGAGGTTTTTAAGAAGAGATTGGACAGTCTTTAGTCTGGAATATTATAGAGTCTCCTGCTTTATCTGGGTATTGGATTAGAAGACCTCTAAGGTCCCTTCAAACTGTTATTCTGTAATTCTATATTTTTCCACACAGATGATACAAATGATTCCACTGAGTCTAGACTTTCTTAGTTGAACTTCCCTTCTACTAATAAGCTTTATTTTATGACAACCTTGTACCACTGAGTTATCACAATCGTTTTGACATGCATATCAAGGGGATAAAGAGATTTAATTACATTGATAGATCCTGAACTATAATTAAATGAAAAAGGAGACATTAATCAGAAAATGGAAGAAATTGCTAGGAAACTCTACGAAATCATTACAATCTTTTATATTTAAAATTATAGTTACAGTTAAGAAACCCGAAGAGTATGGGTCAAATCAACATGATGAATTAGATCTCAATAAGTTTAGTAGTGTATTACATTGCTTGGAAAAAAACACATTTCTGCCATAAGTACTCTTGATTCTTGACTCTCTTCTAGTGAGGAAGCTTGCAAGGATCTAAGGCTGCTGCTGCAGGCAATGAGCTCAGTGCTGATCCTTTGCTGTGCTTTTCTCTGGTGTTGACTGTCTTGGGAAGGCTGATGCTTGACAGGGATCCTCCCTGCCTGAAAGAAGAGGATCTTCTCCATTTAAGGTCTGTCTTTGCTTTTCTTGATATCAATATTTGAACAAAATTATGGGAACATCTTTGTCCTGACTTAACCCCAGCCTATCCCAGTTGATCCCTGGTCCAAGAAATTGTAATAGTAATTTTTTTAAAAAAATCCCTTTTAAGTAAAACACAGAATAAAACAACAATTGAAACAATGATACCACTCTTAATATAAGGGGACTTTGTTGCTAATGAATAAAAATACCCTGCATATGTTTTAAAAGGCAGATATGAATTTATTTTAAATCAGTTTTATATGCACCCAGGAAAAGAAGTATTTTAGTATCTTCTTAAACTCCAAGTAGCTGAGCCTAGTAGACCCTATTTCATAGAGCCAGAGGACAAGAGGCTTTTAAGTATGATGTGGCTATTCAAATACATGCTAGAACCAAATGACACTGCTCTAATACATTCTTTTTTTTCTTGCACTTTTATCACTTCAGTTGTTGTGGGGTCTGATAGTTTAAGCAGATAAAAGGTGAATGTTACCTATCATTGGCTAGATTCAGATTTCATCTGATCAATATAGTTTCCTGCTTGAACAAGGGGTTGGACTATAACAGTGGTCGCCAACCAGTGGAACGGACCGAGAAAATTTTGGTGGTCCGCAAAGAAATGTCACCCCCAGAGCACCTCCCCCAAAGCAATTAATCCAGGCTGCCTGGGAACATAAGGCTGCACTGCCCACATGGCCCGCAGGAACCCTCCCTTCCCACTCACTCCTTACCTGGCATGCGCACCATCAAACTTGCCTGCTAAGTTGCTATTTTTCCTTCCTTTTTTTCCCAACCATCAACTGTTCTGCTGTGCTGGGAGATTTAGATTAGCTAAAAAACAGGAAATCATTGCATTTCTTGCTTTCTAGCAAATCTTTAAGATCTTCAGCTCTGCTTAAAACCTTCCTTAAGACTGAAGCTTCTGTTATTCAGTGCAGATAGCCGATGGCAGAATTGTAGATCTCTGAGTGAATCTGTGATTCTGTGAGCAACTCAATCTGCCTGCCTCCTTTGCCTGATTTTGGGTAAAAGTTGCTCTTTTTTTAATAAAAAATTCAATATTTACATACATGGTGTGTTGTGAGTTAATTTTGTGAGTTTGCTTGCTAGCAAATTTTATGAGTTTGCTTGCAAGCAAATTTTATATGACAGACTCAGGTAGCCAATGGCAGAAACATAGTTCTCTGAATCTGTGATTCTGTGAGCAACTCAATCGGTCTGCCTGCTTTGCCTGATTTTGGATAAACTTTGCTCTTTTTTATAAAAAAATCAATATTTACATAAATATTTACCGTATTTGCCGGCGTATAAGACGACTTTTTTGCCCTGAAAAAGATGCCTCCAATTGGGGGGGTCGTCTTATATGCCGGGTCGTCTTATATGCCGGCAAATAGTAATTGGGAAGCACTGCGGCTGCCCGCAGCTGAGGCACTTTTGCGCACCGTGGAAACGAATCCCGTGAAGCCGAAAGGAGCAGCCAGCCTTCTCCCAGCTCCCAAGGAAACGAGGCTCGCACCGCCCGAGCTCCGCTGAGGTATCCGGCTGGGGCTGTCAGGAGTTGTTACCGCTGGCGCGGCTCCGCGCGGCTCCAGTCCCGCGTTGCCTTGGGAAGGGAAAGGCAAAACCAGGAGCCGCTGCTGCCATTGCAAAGCGCCGCCGCGGCTCTTCCTTTTTGCCTTTCCCTTCCCGAGGCAAC